GCTCAATGTTCGTACCAAATAATTTAATTAAGATATATTCAGTTGTAAGGAGCATTTATTAATACTAATAATTTATAATCGTTTGATCAAATATTGGATTGCTGTATAAGTTCATGAAGAATTTAGACTACCAGAACTTGAGTCTTTAGCAAAAATTGAAGATGTAAAGTTGATATATAATAAAAAAGAATATAAGAAAGACGTAGGTTTTTGATAAATATTACAATTCTTGAAAGCAACTCCCTTTTATTTTATTTTTTTTTATTTTACGTACACATTTTACTTTTCCTGATAATACGGATCAAGTGTCCATTTTTGGTTGTTAACATTGAAACCGAAGAAGAAGCGGAAAGACTTGTTAAACGGGCTATTTTGATAAAGTAAGTAATGAGATCACAACTTGAAAATTGTATTTATTGTTAATATATATTTTGATATAGAAATATTTATGAATTATGGGGAATGGGGAAAGCCTATGATGAAGTGCATGCACAAGTAAAAGCTAGTCCTGAACGATGGGTATGAAATTATTCTATGATCTTCATACTTATTTATACTATGAGTTTTATACTATGATCTTTATCCTATGATGATCTTTATACAACGATTGTTACATTACTATTCTCCAATAATGATGTTTTTATTCATATTAGTCTCTGTATATCCACAAGTCATTCAAATTTACGGTATCAGGCTTCGGATCCACATGTTCATCAGATTATCAAGTTCGTGTAATCAATTCTTTTTCTTATCTCGGATTTAAAGGAGATATCGACTTAACAAATCCGCAAGTACAATTTGGTGTATTGGAAGATTATGGACTAGATTCTCATGCACCAATTCCACCGCAAACACCTTATACTATATATTTTGGGCGATTAGTAAGTAGTATCTAAATATTTGTTTACATTAAAAAATGGTCTGTTTTTTGCATGATATTTATTTATTAACGCATAACAGGTCGCTTCTGGGAATAGGGATCTGGTTCAAAAATACAATTTGAAGAAGAGAAAATATATTGGAAATACATCAATGGATGCTGAATTATCATTGATAATGGCTAATCAAGCATTGGTTTGTTTCTTTTTGTTTATTAAAATTTTATTCTTTCAAAATAATTTCAAAATAAATAACTCTTATTTTGTTTATTTATTTTACGCTGCATAGGCTTCTCCGGGA